CATATGTATAACACTTATCCATTATAACACACAAAAAAAAAGATTTTGACGTCATTGTTTAGAGATATTGAGGTTAAAAAATAGAATATAATCAAATAATTTCGTAAACACATGCTTGGTACATAAATGCATACATACTTATGTATATGAGTGAATATAAAAGTTTATAACTGCATACACATAATAATATATAACACATTCAAATTTTATTTAAAGAAAGATCAGACGCAAAATGTAAACTTATAAAATTCAAGTTTCGTTTTTATACGAGGTTTTTCTTTTTTCGCCTCTGTTTATTTTATTTATTTTTTTTTTTTGTCATTTTCATTTTCTTCTATTCAATTCTCTAGAATTCTATTTTAAAAATAGATTTATCTAAAAAAGATGACTAAATATTTGGAAAAATATACAAAGAATATAATATTATAGAAGGTGGTGGGTATTTTATGCTTTTAATCTTTAATAAAAATAGGGAAAATGTCATGACTTTTCAACATATCAAAAGTACCCATATATAACACTTTTGTATGCAAACCATAACAGAAAATAAAACATTTTAGTAAAATTAAATAAAGAGACTTCATAAAAAATGCCGACTAAAATTTTCATTTTTCTTTTTAAGATCTTAGATAATAATTTGTAAATAATAAATTTAATGTTTACATTTTTACAAGGTCCCAAAATTTAATCTGATAAATTATAACATATTCACTAAAACATAATTATTATATTAGTTTTTGTTTGTAATTTAAAATTAATAGTAAAGTTTTCTCTTTGATTATGATCAGTTTATTCAACTTTAATGAATTTTCCAAATTGAAAAATAATAAAAAAATTCAATATAGTTAAAAATTAAAATTTTAATTCTAAAATTATTTAAAGATTTTGTAAAAGAATTTTAAAATCCATTTTATTCTAATCTAATAGGTTAGGAATCGAAATTTTATAAATAATTCAATTAGAACACTGAGAAAATTTAAAAAATTTCTAATATCTATAAGAACACTAATAATTATTAAAGTTGTCAAACTCATATAGTAAAATAAAAATAAATCTGGTAACATTCTACTAATTGAATTCTTGAAAAAAGAAAAAAATTTATTTTATTAATAATCTAATAATTATAATTACCGTTATAAAATTTATTTTAACCCGAATCAAATAAAATTTAGTTCCCCCTTAGGCCTAATCGTGCTTTATATAAAAAACAAGAAACCTCTAACTTTCCATTCTATTCAAAGAAAAAATATGTATAACAAAAAAAAGGAAGCTGTTAAGCTACTCGTACTAACACAATTGCTTACCTTATAATTTAAAATGGAAAATAATTGCTTCATTTCACTTATTCATAGTAAAAATTTGGTAAAATAAAAATGTCATAAAAAATATTTTTGTAGTTTTGTTCTAAAAATTTTGCTTTTCTCGTTCGCCTAAACTTATGCAAAATATTTATTTTTGGATTTACTAAGAACACTCAGTTTTTTTTTTAAATTAGTACTAAAATTATTTTTTAAAAATTTGAAATTTATTATTTGACAGTACATGATATTCATATACACATATACATAAATATACTCAAATATATGAGTATGTACATTAAAAAATAATTAGAAAAATTAATTTACATATATTTCAAGATATGTAACTATAAAATATTTTCCTGGAGAATAATTTCAAAATAATGGAAAAATCAATTTAGAAAATAAAAAAAAAATATTTCTATAGAAACTTCAAATTATTTATGAATTTTATAAAATTGACAAAAAATTAAAAAAATAATTGAAATATAATATCAAAAAATATTTTAAAGAAAAAAAAAATGAAATTTCCAAGAACAGCATTTAATAGAAACGCATTTTTGAAGAAATCAAATTATTTTTCTTCTGATGGTATACGAAGTGAAATTATGTATTTATGTCAATTATTTATGGATCAGGATGCTCTATTTCCCTCAATAGCACAATTAGGATATCTTGGTTTAGTACAATTAGAACAACCAAGTTTAAATTCACGTTTTGATAGTCATTTAGAATTATGTATTTCAATTGAAAAAATTTTAAATAGATTTCTTGAACTAATTGATGACAATAATATACCAACAAAATATAATAAAGATGATATTATTGAACCAATAATACCAAAATCACCATCAGAATTATATCAAATTAATTTTGAAATAATTGAAATCTATGATAAATATCAAGAAATTGTAAAATATATTGAACCATTAGAAGATAATTATTTAGAATTAAATGAACATTCAATTGCATTAAAATATTTAATGAAATTTCTTAATAGTAATAATCATAATAGTGCTGATAATAATCAAAGTAATAATGACAGTAGAACAATAATAATTAATAATATAAGTTATGAAAATTTTCATATACTTGATTGTTTTATTGGAATTATAAAAAAAGAAAAAGTTTTTCAATTTGAAAAATCATTATGGCGTTTCTGTTATTCATCATATTTTATTAAAATTCAAGATATTCAAGAAGAAAATGAAAATTTTAAGAGAAATAAATATGAGACAACAAATATTTATTGTACATTTTTTATATTTTCAATTGGTGAAGAAATTAAAGCAAGAATACAAAAAATATGTATGGGATATAATGTTAAATTATATAATTGTCCTTATAATAACAAGATTGAACAAAATTTATTATTAAATGATTTAGAGAAGAAAACACTAGATTTACAGAAAATAATAATGAGATCATATAATCATAAATTAAATATTTTAATTGAAAATTCAGAAAAATTTCATATATGGTGGATAAAAATAATAATTATGAAAAGTATATTTGTTGTATGTAATTCTTTACGTCTTGATGTTACCCGAAACGTATATGTTGCTGAAATGTGGTTAGCTAAAAAAGATATGAAAAATATACAAATTTCATTAAATACAGCTGTTTTAAATGCTGGTCATACAGTATTACCAATATTAGCTCGAATTAAAACCAAAAAATTACCACCAACTTATTATAAGAGAAATAAATTTACTCAAGGTTTTCAGGTAAATTTCCTTCAAAAATTAAAAATTCTTTAATTATAATTAATTTAGAAATGAATTTTAATTAAAATTATAATTTCAGAATATTATTGATGCCTATGGGTTTGCACATTATCGTGAAATAAGTCCAACACCATTCATTTTAATTACATTTCCATTTTTATTTTCAATTATGTTTGGGGATATTGGACATGGTTTAATTATAACAATTTTATCGATTTATTTAATATCAATTGAAAAATATTATGAAAAGAAAAGAATAATAAATGAAATTTGGAATACAATGTTTATGGGACGATATGTTCTTTTATTATTAGGATTATTTTCAATATATTCTGGTGGAATTTATAATGAAATATTTGGTTTACCATATAATATTGGATCACATTGGCGTATTAATTTAAATTCAAGTGATATATACAATACATCAATAATAACAATTGATCCGAAAATAAGTTATCAGGGTGTACCAATAACATTTGGTATTGATATGATATGGTGTATGGCTGAAAATAAAATTATAGCAAATAATTCATTTAAAATGAAAATTTCAATTATATTTGGTGTAATACAAATGTTATTTGGTTTAATATTGAAAATATTTAATGCAAAATATTTTAAAAATTTTTTATCAATATTTTTAGAAGTAATACCAATGATAATATTTTTACTGTTTCTTTTTGGTTATTTAATTTTTTTAATAATAACAAAATGGTTTTTATATTCAGCATTGAATCCATTGCCAAGAAATGAAAATTGTGCACCATCTATATTAGTACAATTTATTGACATGGTAATGTTTAAAAGAAGTAATAAATTACCAGAAAATTGTTTAAAATTCATCTACCCTTATCAAAATATCATTGAAATGATTTTAGTATTAATTGCATTTTTAAGTATACCAATATTATTTTTTGGTAAACCAATTCATATGCTTGTAAGAAAACATAAACAAAAATTATCATTAACAGAGCATGAATTTAAAACAAAAAATCGCCATACAAAATTTCCAAGTGTACCAAAAAATAAACGTGCTACAATGTTAAGTCGAAAATTTCATTCAATATTTGATCGTAATCGATCAACTCTAATTCCAATTAATGAAATGTTTACACCACTTGATACAAATCTATCAAATATAACATATTTACCAGAAGATTTAGATGAAGAGCATGAAGAAATATCAGATGTAATAATTCATCAAAGTATACATACAATTGATAGTGTTATTGGTTCAATATCACATACAGCATCATATTTGCGTTTATGGGCATTATCATTAGCACATTCAGAAATGTCTGAAGTAACATGGAATATGATATTTAAACCAGCATTGAAAATGACATTAAGTACCACAAGATTTAAAAATGTTATTGCTATTTATATTTTATTTGGTGTATGGGCAGTAATTACAACAATAATTTTAATTATAATTGAAGGTTTATCAACAATTTTACATACAACACGTTTACATTGGGTTGAATTTCAAAGTAAATTTTATTATGGTAATGGAATTGAATTTTATCCATTTTATTTTAAAAGAATTTTAAATGATTTAAAATAATATTCAATTTAATTTTGTTGCAATTGTTGATTTTAATAATTTCTTAAATAAACTTTTAAATATTGCTGTTTGATTAATAATCCTTAAATAATTAATTCAGATAAAGGATGAAATTTAACAATTTAACTGAATTCTTACACATTTTAAAAGCGTTTGTGTTCCAAAACTGACAAAGAGATGGTCAGTATCAAGTATATATATTTTAACATGCTCTGAAATGAGTCGCAAATTTACAACCTTACAAAGGTGGAAAGATAATTTTAATGTGCTTAAATGAACTCCTTGTTAAAACCGTTACACACAACACAAATCCCATACTAAAATAAATAGTTGAAAATTTGTTGCAAAATATTTTAAACTTTTGTGACTGCAGTTAAAAAAATATATATATTTTTAATTTTTGTAAGAACTTACATGGTTTTTGGTCTCCGAGGCATCCTAAGAAGGACCCTACCTAAATCGTATATTTAATTTGTTCCTGAAATAAAAAAGGTAAAAGTTAATTTTTTATGATTTGTTGATGGCTTATTCTTGTTACAAATTAGTAATTACAAAATTATTAAACAGCAATTAATTTAAAATCTTCAAATATATGCAAGTAATTATTATGATTAATTTTGTATCAACACTTTATTTTGCATAAAATTTTAACTGAACTTTGCTTATGCGTTTAATAAAAATAATCAAACCGCTTAATTTAAAAATTGACTTTGACGTAACAATATTATACTTTGCTTTGACATTTCAATAAAGTGTTTCTCAATATTTTTATTTTTTAATTTTCCGGCGTCTACCAAAATGCAAATTGAACGCCAATTTGATTTATTCATGAATAAAAATTTTATTACTGTATAAGTCAAGTTGACGTTAGATCAACATTTTGGTATATAATTATATACCATATGCCATATTCTAATTAAGAGATACATGTACATCAAATTAAAAATCAAAGAAATATGTTGATGCTTTGCTTTTACCACTCAAAAATGACAGTTTATTTTCTTTTTGCAAATTATTCTCTGACGGTGATATTTTAAACTAAGGCAGAACTTTTGTGTTTTGTTTCATAAAATAAGTATTTTGACACAGGTTCTATATACAGGGTAATCTGTAAATATGCAAAATTATAGATAGCGTTACTTTGTGAATTTGCTTAGTAATGTTTACTGCGCTGTACCTGTTTATAAATTAATTCAAAATTTAACTTTAATTATTACGCGCAATTATAAAATTTTTATTATTAAACAAATAAAAATCTGTCCTTTTTACGAAACGAGAAATAAAAAATTAAACGCAATAATTATGATTGAAATACAAAAAAAATTTTATGAGTGACTGTGACTGTAAACTCGAAAATATCCAAGCAAAATGTTGTTTAAAGTAACTTTTACCACGAAAATTAGAAGATTCTTTGACGTGAGCTTCAAATTAGTCTACAAATTTTTCTTTTAAATCAAAACCCTTTTCATAAAACTATTTACTGCACACAAGGAAAACTAAATGTATAAACTTATTTGAAAAAGAAATTCGAATTCAACTCCTCATATAAATTCGGCGTTAATTTATTTTGTTTATTTGATTTAGGTATTGTCATTCAAAATGAGTCCTATTAATTAAAATCGTATTGCTTTCAAAGTGGCTCAACTTCACTACTTACGAAGCAACAATTTTTTCAACATGTTGCTAAAACCAACAATATGTGGATGCTTTTATAACTAAGAAACTACCGTGTAAGGAATGCAATTTTCACTTTGGCAACTATATAATATTTACCCCATCTCTAGTACATACAAAAAGCTATAAATAAATTTTACTTAATTTTTTTGAAATATTCAAGTTAATATAATATTTACGTATGTTTGTGCATCATCACATATTTTGTGCATTAAAATATTTTTGTTTTCTAGTTTGTTTTTTGGCCGTTACCCCATATACATACATATGGATAAAGCATCTGGCTTTATAAAAATCACTTAAATTTTTTTTCATGATCATGATTTTTGGTACCAATAAATTATTTTAATTTTAAAAATTTAATATTTAAAAATTTTTTTAAAAAATTCATTGATGATTTTTTTTTTTAAAGGTCATATTATTGAAATAGCTATATGTGTCTATGTATGTGTATTTGAAAACATACCAATATTATATTATAAAGGCCAAAATATTATTAAACCATTATATATAAATAGGTAGGTAATTTCCAAAAATATAAAAATATTTTTTTTAATAATTCCAAAAATAAAATGGTTCAAAATTTCTGTAAAACTGAATAACATATACGCATACTTATATACATATGTATACACTGATACTTTTTGAAATATCATGATAGCAGATAACAAAAATATCACAAGTGAAAATAATGAAGATTAAAATTTCTACCGTTAGGTTAATAAAAATAACAGTATATTAAATTCGTCTTAAATTAAAACTTTTAAAATTTTATAAGGGCTTACAGTAGAGAGCATGCTTCACAAAAAATATTTGCTTCTAATACCATTTCTTAATTTTTGAAAATTCTCTAAAAATTTTCTTTCCCATTTCTGTTTTACTCAAAATTTAAGTGTTTTTTTTTCAGAATTGACAGATTTAATTGACATTGAATAAACAGTTTTCCATTATAACACTTATGTTTTAAATAAATCTCAATATGAAAATTAAATAATTTAATAAGAAACTAAGTAGAAAAAATTTTGACGCTTTAATAATATAGATAATAAATTTAAATTAGAAACGTCGAAAAAATTTTTCTCAATGTCATTTCCGAAACTACAATTCATACCATTATTACTGTTGCCAGTATTATACTTTTCCAAACATACTAAATTCGTTCACACTTGAAGCACATCGCACATTATCCGTCAAAAATATTCTCGTCAAATACTAAAGCATCTAAAGCAGTGGGATAATTCTATATTTTGTGATAGCGCAAATGCGTAGTGGAAAGGTTAAATGATAGTGCCTTAGCCTTAGACTACAAAATGTTTGCTTCGTATAATAAACCATGTACAAGCAGTAACTTTGACCGCTACATTGATTTTAACTCCACATCTTTATGAAAGAAATCACTACGACCATATATACACATATTAAAATTGCTACTTAACATGATTTAATTTTTCATTAAAAAATTTTAAGTGTTGACAATGTAAAGATATGTTGGCATTAATATAACATTTAATTTCCAATTATTATGTATGTCCAATATACTCGTATAATTTGATCGGAAGAATTACCGCAATTAATAATTGATTGACATATTATTTGACTGTTAACAAAGTTAATATGTCACATTATTAGAAATATATATCTATACGCAAAATATAACATTAATGTCAAACGATAAATTATGAATAATACACGATTGATTGGAATTTTGTTTTTTTTTGTGAACTCAATGTTATGGGTAAAGTTAAATATGACTGAAAGCGAGTCAATTAGCTTTTGAATATAAGATTAAGTTCAATAAAACGCTATTTTGTATACCTACACACTCACACAACAATTTTGAAAAATAAATAATATAAGAAATAAGCAAAAATTAAAACAAAATTTTTCTGTGACAATTTTACAAAAAAAAAATTCCGACATTTTTATTAAAATCAAAGTGAATTTTAATTATTTTTCTTTTTCTGCTTGTTTTATTTTTGAAGAAGACTACAAAAATTTTCTAAAAATATTTTTTTATCAAAAATTTTTACATTTTAATTTTATATTGAAGAAGAATAAAAAAAAATTTTTTTTGGAAATAAATGAAAAATTTCTTTTTTGAATAGAACATGAGTTTATATTTTGTTAATGGCGTGATGTAGGTACAGATATGCTTATTATGATGATTTATTTGTTATTTTTTACGTAGTTTTTATACGTAAAATATTTTATTTTCTTCACCTTTAAAAATAAACATGAAAATATTTCGATTTCTTTGTCTCTTAAAATTATTTTAAACATTTATTTTTTGTTTTTCAAAATTTCAGAAATCTTTTCCATTTTTCTTTTTTAAATTAGGAAGTTAATAAAAAAGATTATCTTTTGATATTATTTTTAAGAATTTCACGACGATTTTTTTAATTTAATATAGCAAATATTGATTCTAGGTCTACAATACTTTCATTTTATTCAAAAAAAAATTTTTTTTATTTCCATAAAATTTAATATTAAAATGAGAAAAGAAGTCATAAGAGCATTTGTGTTGAGGCTATTCAGCTGTCAAATTAGATATAGGCATACACATGTGGTGCACACAAAGATAATAAAATGAATCATAAAATAATAAGTGAACTAAATACATATGCGGCGAAAAAATTAAATTCCTTTATAATTTTGCACTTTTGAGACTTATTTCCACGCAAGCCTTCGATAGGGTCAATTGTTATGATTTGTCACACCAAATCATGAAGCTCCTCATGAAGTAATCAAAAAGTGATAAATCTCATCAACTTCTCGAATAATATTTCTTATTAAAAAACTTGTCAAAAGAGAAAGGAGTATCGTCATTGTACAAAATTTTTGCAACAAAAGCACATTTGATTTTGTTCAAGTATGAAACTGTCAATGATGATTTATCTGCCTGAAATCGTTGCAAACGTCAAAAGTGAACAGCAACTAATTTGACAATCAAATCTTTCGTAAATTGCATCTTAGAAAAACAGGCTTCTAAATTTGTTTCTAATTAGAACATATAATTGAAATAATTCTATTTTGATTACATAATATTTATTGACAATGAACAAATGAATGAATAATATTTATGTGTTAAAGTCTTTTTATAACTCTTATTACGTCAAGAATTTTTTTAAGACGTCAAGCCCATAGTTCACGCTATATTCTTATAGGTTTGCCGCAGTGTATCAATATTTATTTTTGCCTATTATATATGAATATGTATAAATTCTATTTGTTATTTACAAACAAATATGTAAATTAATGAATTTTCAATTTAAACAAAAGTTGTTCAAAAAAAAAAAACACCTACGCCCTGAACAATTTTATTTTTATAAAATATTTTAACACCATAATTATTCTTATTATAGACATCGAAAAATTATTTAATACTTAAAGACAACATTAATGTAGTATTCAGAATTTGATCATAAAATTAAATTTTTTACTAATTGTTTTTCATAAGTCTGATAATAGCTTCCTTATCTCAGCCAGCTGCATTGAATTATATTGCTCTGCACAGGTTCGCAAGAGCTGAAGAGAGCTCTAGATAGAACTTAACATTCTGGAAATAGTAAAATAGAATATCTGATTTATTTCCCAACAGCTGGCTGCTATATGCGATTCTAATGTGATCTTGACTTTATTCACTGATGTTCTTACTTGGGAAACATATAAAATTAGAATTAAAAATAGAAGTAGATATCACTTAGTTTTTTGTTTTGTATACATGTCTGACTAGCCTGACATAGCTTTTTACAAAATCATGTAAACACTAGTTTTTTCTCAAGATTTTATTACGGATTAGCACAAGCCTTAATTTATCTAAAAGTGAATTCAATTAAGATGTCTGCTGGGTTACTTCAGTTGTCAATTGCCGTATGACTTTAATATTTATTATTTATTTTGGTTATAATATTTATTTTGATAATACATTCTTGATTTTAGAGTTTTACTACATTTGGTCTTGCGAGGTACATTTGAGCCGAGGCTTGCTCGTGCTAGAAGTCAAACAAAAGATGTTTGTCAGAGATATCAGGATATTGCGGAAGTGAAGAACGTGGAACATGTTCTTTATGCCTGTTCGTCTTTGATGTGGAAGAGAAAACGAATGCCTGGATTGGTTCCGGTAGATTGTTTTTGAAGTTTTGTATTACAAGGGGTTGTTTTCGAATATTAATTTAAGTGTTACCGATGGAGCTTTTGGTTGACCTAGTACTTGAGCTTCGCTTGGGTGGCCGGACGAGATTCCCCTCTCTTACTATTACTACTTCTTCTACATTAATAGGCATTTGAAAAAAAATTGGACTAAAATTTATAAATATATTTTAATAAAGAAAAAGCAATTTGTCAACTTCAACAAATTTTTTTTCATTTACAAAAAAAAAAAAACAAACAATTGTTAATTTTTATGCGCGTTTTAAATTTAATTTTGACATAAATTTATAGCAAAAAAATTGTCAAAAGCCTTTTAGTGTTTTTTTTTCTATTTTTTAATAAATTTCCACATTATATTTAATATTTCGAAGCCAAAATTAAAAGTTATAAAATACGGAAGTTTAATGAACCAAAGTATTATTTTTGAATAAAAAATTTTATGAGACAATAAAATATTAATAGCAAAATTAAAAATTTTCCAGAAAAAAAATAAATTATTCACACATCATAAACTTAATTTAAACATATTTACTACATTCTAATTAAAATCACTATAACTACCATAAAATTTAATATTTCATTTAAGAAATATTATTTTTAAAAATTACTTATAAAACTTGAAAATTAATTGCATAAATGATCAATAAATTATAAAAACAGCACTAAATCAATAAAAAAGTTCAATAAAAAGAAAACATTACTGGAAAAAAAGCGGATGGAACCGGCTAATAAGCGGCTTGTTACGTAACAAATTTATAAAAATAAAATTTCATGCAATTTTTTTTTTTTTTTTTTTTGATTTTCAATGCCCCACATAAGTTAATTTCTCCGACATTTCCATACAAAAACCAAAAAAAAAAACTACTTGTTAAGTAATTTGATTCTTCTTTGAATGGAGGAAAAATTCCTAATTTTAGAAAAATTATCTACATTTTTTCTACATTATTACTGTTGAAAATAATTCACAATAGTTAGTGAAAGTGAAAATATTTTCTTTAAATATTTTACATTTTAAAATAATTAAATTCTATTTGGAAACGTTTACCCCGTTTATATGACAGTTTCAAGCGTATCGTGTTCATGTAAACGTTACTTGACTTAAAGCCGGCGTCAACCAAAAAATTTTCCGTACTTTGCTTGAAATGTTAACAATGACTTGAAATGTAATGTCTAAGCGTCATTTTCGTACTTTCAAGCTGATATAATAAGAAAATTCAGCTTGAATTTCAAGATAATTTCAAGTTCAGTACTCAAGCTGCCATATAAATTAAATAGAATACATTATTCTAACCGCTTTTATGACGTACATAGAGAGCAAGCAATATAATTTAAATTAAAATTTTGAAATAAATAGCTTTGATTAAATTATTAATTTTATTTTATACTAATTTTTTTTTTTTTTAATTTTTTACACAATTTTGTTACTCAATTCCTTAACTGTGTGTAACCATTAAAAATTAATTTTGAAGTTCAATATCTAAAATTGACATTTATATATGTTCATATTTCATAAGTTTTGTAAATTTTTAACCTTTAAGAAAAATTTTGGCAAATAGCACATTGGGTTTTGACATACGGTATTGAAATATTTATTAATTTTCAACAAGGTACGAACTAATTTTAATAAAATGTATTTAAAGATTTTTGTTTTTAATTATAAAAAAATTGTATTGTTATTCTATATACTCGCAATTATTTTTTAAATAGTATGTTGCCTATATAATTTAATTACCAATTACATGCGTGCAAACATAAAATTGAACAAAAATTTGCAGCATTTGAGTTTGGCGCCCTAGTAACATAACTTTTTTATAGACTCATTTAAATAATTATAATTCTTGTATAAGTAAGTAGGTATATTAAAAAAGTCATCCCTTTTCTCTTTCATTCTTTCATTCAATATCTCTGTTACTTGTCATTCTTCCTTTTCTCATTATTTTTTAATTCATAAAAACAAAAGTTTAATGATTGACAAGGACAAATTTATAAGTTTTTCTTTATTTTTTTTTTAATTTTTCCTATTTTTTTGTTGGTTTATAGCGAAGGTGTTCGAAATTGTGCTCTCTTTTTTCTTGAAATTGTGCGAAGGTGTTAATAAATAAAATTAAAAAAAAAATTTTAAAAAAATATTTTAAATAAAACATAATGTATTAAAAAAAATTTTTTTTTTTAGCATGGTTGACAACCACTTACTTTGATAAATATTTATTTTTACTTCGTATGATTAATAATCCTTGTATTGGCATTAAAAATATTAAATATTTTTTTAATATTTTTATATTTTAATTTGTTATATTTTTTTCTAAATTATTATATTTATAAATTTATATTTATTTTTACAACACATTAAAATATTTTCTATCTAAAAGGAAAGAAAAAATTTAATTTTTTGCTTTGTTTTGTTAATTTAATTTTAAATATTTAATAATATATTTATATAAAATTAAATTAAAATAAATATATTGCATAAAATAAAAAAAAATTCAAATTAATAAATTCACAATATTGATTAGAACAATTGTTTAATGTTATGTTTCAATTTTATAAGAATAAATTTAATTTTAAAAAAATTTTTGCTGACATTTTTTTTTTATTAAATTATAAAATTCACAATTTCAAATAAATATTTCATTTTAATTTCACATTTATGTTTATGTATATATATGCAAAAATTTAATTAATTTATGATTTAAACATTAGAAATTTTTATTATTTTTATATTGTACATATATATATATATTTATTATACATGTATATACATACATATATATCAAGTGTTAATAAATATTTATATGAATATAAAAATAATATAATTCTGTCATATAAATTAATTTATAAATCACAATTTTATTGTTTTTTAAGTATTATATGTAAGCCTTGTATATATGACATATATGCTTTGTATATATATGCATATATAATAGATTTTTATATATTAATTATTATTTGTATTTAAATATAATATGCAATATCCAACACAAAAGAAATTCGACTATTGTGAATGGTAAAATTGTTAATATTATAGTATAGCAATGAAAATTGAATTCATTCACAATAGATTCTTAAATATTTTCGCATATATCAAGAAAATGTTATGTATTAATTAAGAAAAAAAAAATACTTTCACTTTAAATGTAAAAAAAAAATGTCCTTTTTAATTAAAATATAATTAATTTTAAATTAAATTTTAATTTATAATATCACTAAATTATAATATTAAGTATATTTATAACACAATAAATTTAATAAAAGAATTATAATATTATATTGATTTTATAAATGTATATGTAAGTATATATGTACATATATACATTTATAATTAAAATTTAAAATTAATAATATATTAATTCCGATTATAGGTACATATATATAAATGTATATAGGTATGTATACTGACTATAATTAAAAATTAATATTTTAATAAGTTTTTTTTTTAATCGCCTTAAAATTTTAATATTTAAATTAATGTATACGTAATGGCCCGAAGGCCTCCTTCTCACTAACTGAATATCTGAAATTTTGAAAAAAAATTTAACAAAATTTTTTTATATGAGGTAACACAATTTAATGTTAAAAACAAAATAAAATAAAAAGCAAAAAAAAAAAAAAGCCGACTGATTTTTTGTTTTTTTTGTTTTTTAAATTAAATAAAAATTCTTTCTTTTCACTGTTCTCTCTTATAATAATTATTTATATACATACATATACATTTGTATGGGCATATGTGTGTATATATAAATTTACAAAATATCTTTTAAAATGTGCAAAATATAAATACAATCGGGTATGTATGTATGAATGTTTGTAACATATAAAAGAGACAATTATTCTAAATGTTTATAAATATATATACATACACATACATACATACATATTTATAAATGTATAGTGAGCATCACTTTTTTAATTTTCTATTTTGTGCAACTGATTTTTAAGGTGGAAAATGTTAAAAATATCTTATAATTTTGGCATGGTCCCTGGCTATTTTATATTTTTATTTTTTATTTTTTTCTAATTTTTATTTTCTTTTATTTTAATAATATTTTAAAATACATTATTCTAGATATAAATATAATAAAGTGTGCACATATGAGTGTATGTATAAAAAAGATTAAGGCACTAAAGGGAAATAATAAAAATATAGGCACATTTTATATTCATTTTATAAATAAATATGTATGTACGTGTGTAATTGAAAAAGAAAATTAAAAAAACTATAACAATTAATAATTTTAATATTATATGAAAAATTTATTTATGGTTTTAATTCATAATTACATACATAAAAATATATACAAACATTAAGTTGACCATTTACTTTAAATATTTTATATACCGTTGTACATTTATCGCTTACAATACCGCCTTACTAAAATAAATAGCATATTTTTTAAAATGGAGTTTTTGACAGGAAAAAGAATCTTTTTGATAGTACAGCAATATTTTTGAATCAAAAAAATTACACACAATTAGGAATTTCGTAAAACTATGATGAAATACCGGAAATTAAAATGCCAATAGTTCTGTCGTTTTTGCTGAAATTTAGCATTATTATTAACTATATATCTGACTGCAACACTGCAATTTTTCTCATTTGCTGCAATTTCTCTACGCCAAAAAACGATATAAAACGGGCACTATATCGTAAATATTATTAATTTACAGGAGCCCATCTGATTTTCTGTTCGGAAAGGTTTTTTCAAATATCAATATATTTATAATTAAATATAAATTTTGCTATAATATAATTGAATCTACTGCAATTTCAACATTATCTTTATTACAACACTAAATTATAAGACGGCAGCACTGTATACCTTTGCATATTGTATACATGTATGATACATATATATATATATAATTAAACAGTTTTTAGTGTTTCCTGAATATTTTCAAAACTAGGAGTTGTTCGATATTAAATATATAAATGAATTTTTAATTTAAGTACACACATGCATATTTATACAATAAATTATATGTAAATGTATATAATTTGTATATAATAAAATACAATTTTTTAATTTAATAAAAAATATTAGAGAATTTAAAAAAATTTATCATTTACCTGTATATACAATATGTTATATATACTTCAGTTATATATGAGTTCATAACATTAAGCTTATATACAGAGGATATTTTTATGTGTTTTTAAATTTAATTTATAAAAATATAAGAAGAAAAAGACAAAGAGAAACAATTGATTTATGTATATAAATGTTTAAAAATTTTGTACACGTAAATCAAATTTTTTTTTATATACATTATTTTATGTATGTATATGTACTTGTATATGTAGGAACCTACAAGCACTTTTACTTTATATAAAGAAAATTTTTAAAATTTAATAAACTACCAAAATATAATTTATTTTTTTTTTTATTTATTTTGATTTAGAATTATAAAATAAACAGAATAATTTTTCAAATGTTATTTCAAACAACTTAATATTTAAATCAGATAATAAGGATATTATTAATGTAAACCATGTATGTTTTAATTAACTTTCTAAACATTTAAATTTTAATTTAAAAAAAAGGGCAGGGATGTGTAAAATTTAAAAGGCTATGGGCCGTATTAAGGGGCATACATACTTTTCACGCCATCTGGCGTATAAATTTTAGAATCGAGAGAACTTCCGTATCGCAAAGGCACTGTGCCACTATGGGAAAGTTGTTCCAAAAAAATTTCATTTATTCAGAAAATGGTATTAAAAAATATTTTAAAAAATTAAGATTAAGAGCCGTGTAAGCATTAATACTTGGCTGTTTTTTGAAAAAAAAAATGCGAAATGAAGCTTTAAATTTTATTTCTAATAGACAATATGCAGCAGCTTACCTTATTCTTAATATAGATTTGATGATTCCTTAAAAATTGTACCTTTACTATGGAAATTTTGTTAGGAGAAGGAAGCCTGATTCGCGAGTTTTGATGTTTACACATTTCTGATTTAAACTATTATTTATTTTTCTATGAAATATTTTAAATTTCTTTTAAATATTTAGAAAAATTTTTCTTGAATGAATATCTAAAATTTATACCAAAAAATTTAAAATTAAATATAAATCGATTGCTATATATGTATATACATGTATGTAATATATTGCTGCATTAATGTATAAGTAAGCATATAAGAATTTAAACAAAATATCAACAAAAATATGTTAATTTTAAAATACATATATATCCCAAATATAAACTATAAACATATATTAACATTGAAATACTGTTATATTGTATAATGGTTTTATAAGGTGTCAAAATTTATAACAAAATTCATAATATTATTTCATAATATTCTGTGGTTTTAAGCAAAAGCTTTGTTAATTCTATGAATTTATAAAATCAGAACCGATTAAGTCAAAAATAGTTATTTCGAGAATAAAAGACATTTTTAAAAAATCTTCAAACTCGAATGAGGTGTGAAATTAAAATAAAATTTTTGAAACAGTTTTTGCTCTAATTTCGGAATAAATTTCTTATAACTAGATTAACAACTAAAATTGGTTAAGATATAAAAAATTAAAATTTTATAATAAAATAAAGAATTATTGAATGGGAGTTGAGAACTTGTTGCTTGTAACCACAGAAATATACGCCACATATTAAAATAGAATAAAGAACAATATCACAATTTCAATTGTTAATTTAAAAATAAGTTTTTTAAAAACGAATAATAATTGTTTAAATTTTTAATAAAACCACTTTAATAAATTTTATTGTAAAATAAGTTAAACAATTATTCTATTTTAAAATATGGTTAATATCTAATTATAAATTAGAATTACTTAATTGAAAAATTAATATTAGAACAGTTTTGCAAGAAACCAAAACGTATTTTTCTTGAAATTCGTTGAGAACGTCTTATAATATTCACAATTACATTTATATCAATCAATAGTTCTAAAAATATTGTTGGTTTCTTAAAATTTGTTATCAGTTCTAAGACGTTTTACTTCTAAATAAATAAATTTTTATTTGTAGAACAAAATTCTAAGAAAATTTCAAATGAACAAAGAATAAATTAAGAAAGTAAAACTAATAAGCACATTTTACTCAGTTTTCGAAATATGGTATAAATAAAAATTTGTGAATTTCTGAAAATTTATTAATTAACGTAATATTGTTTATTAATTATAAGATGAGTGATATTAAATCAGATAATCTTCTACACTCATTGCTCAAATTCAATTTAAATTTATATACCGCCAATTATATTTTTCAAACTAAAATAGTTTCCGTTCATTGATAACAGCTGTCAAGTATAAAAGAAAAAATTGATCAGTTCATTAACAATGCTATCTTTAGTGAATAATCTTAAAATTTGATGGAAATATGTTAACAAAATCCATTTTAGATAACAAAATGAAAATGGTAATAAATTTAAAGAATTAGTAAAAATTTTGTAACCTATACGATTCGAACTGCTATAATATTATTCGAATACTCTTGTGAATCATTCGAATACAATTCGTAAAGTTTCAATCATGCAAATATTGGGTATCAGGACTGTCAATAAAATATTTTTAGTTTGTTTTAAATTTTTTATCATTTCATCATTTTAATTAAATATTTTGCACTTTAATCTTTAAACTTGACATGATAAAATTAATATTTTCTACAAATTTTAAAGAAATACCGAAATTTTTAAATTAATTAAGCATTTTATATTTATTAATGCATAAAAAATTTTCATTATTGTACAATGAAAATTGTCACTTTCATTTTTATTTTGTATAAATATTTTCTATTTAATAATCAAATGCTTTTTAAACTAAAATCTTAACCTTGAAAATTTTGATAAATAAGAAATAAGAAAAAAGAAATCTTGAGAATGTAAAAACGAAAACTTAAATGAAAATTCTATTTTTAATTTTCCAAATTTTCATTTATTTTTTTTTTGTCTTATTTTTTGTTATTGTTGATATTTTAAATTGTTTTTGCTTGGTTTTATTTTGCTTTCAAAAAAAAATTTTCGCACCTCTCTTAATTAAAAATTATTTTTATTCTCTTTGTGTTTTTTGTTCTTTCTTAAAACAATAAACAGTCATCAATTTCAGGATAATCATTTTATATTCTAAATAAAATAAAATCTCTCAATAAGATCACCGTAATTCTCATTGTATTCCAAAATTTTCAACGTACATTTGAATTTCTTAATCCTATACGCAATTTGTTAATTAATTATGAGCTAATAACACTTTGCTACAAATTTTAAGACCGTAATTAATATTTAATACCGTAAATACTTAAACGATTAGAGGATTTTTATTAATAATTAAAATTCCTTTACATGTCGAATTGTCGACCACATTTCCGAAACAAAATGCATATATTATGATGTTGATGAGAGAAAACGCTTCATAAAGCAACAGTAGCAACAGTTATTTAAAAAATTTTAATTACTGAGAGAAAATATATTTGACATTTTACAATTAATGAAAAATTTTTGTGAGAATAAGTGCACGACCTCAATTAACGTCGGAAGCGTCAAACAATTGTCAAAATT